CATTCATTTCAATTCCACCCATTTTCATTGAGTCTGAAACTCTTGCGGCCCATTATTTACTTTTTCATTATGGAAACTATATCATGAAATTTTTTATGCAAAAAATGAAAATTGAAGAATGTAGAAATGTTCAGTAAGAGACAAAAACGGGCTTATATATGGAGAAATAAAGCGAAAATGAATAAAATTGTCTGTAGAAAATAGGATTTCATGTCTGTAGCTTTGTTCAGGTACCGTCACACTTATTCTAATAGATCATTTCCTTGACCTTGTTAACTCAGACGAGAGTAAAAGTCAAAGGCTTAAGATTACTTTATAGAAGAGAATGGTCATCTATTCCTTTTTATTTTCTTGGCCATTTCCGCTATCTTGCCTGATGAATCCATTTTCACTGCTTTTCTATTTTTCAAATTGGCACTTGTGGTGAAAGAAGGTGACTTTTGTTTTCATATCCTAAAAAGCATCTTCACAATTACATGTATGCAAATGCTCTGTACTTGCGCATGACTCGTCATGATTTGATATAAAAACTATAAAAATCTATGTTTTTATAGAAACAGCAGATCTGCAACACAGAACTGGGTACAAAAAAATTCAGTGAAGGTTTCCATTTTCTCGTGATCCCAAATGTAGCGTTTTTCAAAAGATTTGGCTTAATTGGAATGGACATTTTGCAGCTGAACTCATTAATGAAATAATTGTACATATTCTTCAATGTTGCAAAAGTCTCATTCCCTGTTGCCACAGAGCTGGAGAAAAACGCTTTTTACTCTTTTTAATTCTTTCCTATAATTCAAACTTCACTGAATTTGGCAAAATATGATCTCAAACATGCTTTGCGCATTTGAGCTCTCATGCCATTTTATCGCTTGAGAATCGCTGACGGTGGATAAATTATTCAGGATTTTTCTTCTCCAATGAGTGAAGCGACGAAACCGAAATAGAATTTTTTTCTTGATTTAATTTTTTTTGTTGATAACTAATTAACTCTTCGTTCCGTATCTTTATCTCTCAATAAAGTCATGAAACAAAGATTGCACTCCTAATTTGCTTCTACTTGGTTGCCTAAAAATAATTATGACTTGCAAATTCGAAGCTCAATAAAATCTCAGTAGCTCCCATTCCGCTAATACTTTTTCGTAATACTGCAAGTTTTCTAGTAAAAAGTTTTTGGTTTGCTTTTTTTAATTTTTACACCCTACTTTTACTCATTTTGAAGAATGATCTCTCAAAGATTTGATGACGAAATTTGGGTGTCCCATCTTGTGTCTTTAGCCACTGAAAAAAGCCTCCGTGATCAAAATTGACCATCTGTCATTTTTTTCACCCTCTTCAATAATGTCATACCCAAAAACAGAGATTTGACTTCAACATTTTCGTGCGCCTCAAAACAAAAATAGCTTTAGCTGCCCTAATATTAGCAGTAGAATGCCATAACTTGCATATCTATCTCATCTCTATCTACGTGAGATTAGCAGATTACATTTTACACGTCAAAAAGGGATCAAGTTGACGAAGATGGGCGCAAAACCGGTACGAATGGTCGTTGAGCTGAGATTTAAGCTCCACTGACATAAATGATCTTCTGGCCGTTATCTTTCATAATCTGAAGGGAGCTGAGCTTAGCATGAAACAAAACCAATGGAAAGCCATGGAATGTCGCTCAAAATTGGCATTTAATCACCTTTTGATGCGAAAAAACTTGATGCACTCTTTCAAAAGGGTTTCTCAGCAACCAAGTATAATATCTGAGGATAAGAACTAGTACTCTGGGCTCTACAAGGCTCTAATCAATTTTTCTTGCAAATGAATGGAACGTCAGAGGGCTTTTGGCGAAGCTGCAGAGCCTAGGCGGTGTCCTTCATCTCCTTTCTGTTCTTAAAAGTCCTGTCTTTCTACTCTGTCTATTAAACAGATACTAAAATTTTTTGTCTTCTACTGGGTCGTAGCGTAAGTTTTGTCACACTCAAAGGAGAAAACTCCAAAAGATTTTTTCTTGGCTCCGAACTAAGTTGATGGTTGCATCTTCTTGATATATAAAGAAAGTTCTGAGATCTTTTTTGGCAAATTTCCAGCGTAATTAATTGAAGAGCTTAGGCTCTCACTTCCTCCATATAAGTACTAAGGTCCTCAAAATCCATAAAAAATTTGAGAGCATGGAAAAGAATGAGAGAAGTTTTATAGGAAAAAGAAAAAAACGGGTTCAAGTGCCTTCACAAAATTGCTTTCATTCTTCCTGTAATCTATAAAACTGCCTTTATTTCTTACTGTAATCTATTTGTGAAGGTGAAAGTGATGCCAAAAGATGGAATCCCTTGTCCACTGTTTACATGTGCCAAATATTAAACTAGCTAAAGTTTCTGGAGTTTTTTATAGGAAAGTGAAAAATGTATCACAAATCTTATGTTACCAAGTATTTCTGTATTTGTTAGGTCCAACATATTTCGCTTTCATACTTTCTCTCAAGTTTTCACTTCTTGAATACTATCGGTGAGTTACCAGAAAAAAAATCACTTGCCCGGTCTAATTCCTAGCTCCGAAACATGTTGAAAATTGCGTATTATTTGAGTTCCAAAAAAGTTGTATTGATCATAATTTTTTATTTTAGTTATCTACAAACCTGTGTGGTTTCCTCACACTCACGAAATTAAGCTGAATCTTGCTTTTATACCAGTTCTTATCAGCTTACTAAATACCATTCTGTTGAAGTCAACAAAGCCTTCATCTGCTCTTCATTCAAGCGCTTACACTCCTCCTCCTCCCTTTCTTTTTTTCTCGAAATTATATCATCTCGCCTAGATACTCAGCTCATCGTGCTATGAAACCCAATTCGCTATCTGTACATATGTAACTCTAGTCTCTACAAGAAAAGCTTGTTTTGCACCTGTAGTAGTCAGCCGTCAAATGCAATTCTAACAGCATGCAGAGACATTTTTTGCACCTCGTTCCATATCGTGAATTTAGGAAAATTTGCACGGAAAGCTCAGAATGTGAATGCCAATAAAGCGTCTTCCCTGAGTCTCTGCACACCACTCTTCTTACATTCTTTCATATCAGATTACCGAGAAGGTCATACTTGCTTCTGTTAGCTGGATTAGATATCAAGCATTATAATCACTCATAGGAATTTTAAAATGAAAGAGAATAATATTGAAAACGTTGAAAGGGACTGAATCACAGATTGTTTTCTCAGATCGCAACAATAGGTTTTGGAGATTTAGTTTTCAAAAAATTTCTTTTTATTGTGTTTTTTATGGTAGATGTGGAGATTTCTTGCGGCCGAAGCAATACCAGCACTTGATACATGACATTTACGGCAAGAAATAATAATGCGGAAGAAATTTATCATATTTTTCGTAGAATTAACATTTATAAAAAATTATATCTCAAAATCTGTGGCTATTCACCGTTCGAAGCCCTAGTACTGATAAAAGTGTTTGTACTTTTAGAAAATTTTGCCATTTGATCTTAAAAACCCTTGAAATTGCTTCTTTCATTGCTTCGAATGGTAGACGGATATTTGCAACACCTTTTTACATGGATATTTGCAAATCTTTTTTCAGTCTAATTTGTCGTTCATTGGTATGCCTGTTCCGAAACTCACAAGCAAGTGGAGCACTAATTAGAAAAATGTCATTCAACGTCTTGCTCTGGATAGAAGAATTTAAAAAGGGTAGATTATCGAAAGACACATGGAAAAGCTGCGACGTTTTTGCGGTTCGCTTTTTTAGTGAATGTGAAATTAAGTAGCTAGACATTCTCATAGCCATTTCTATTTACTATCGCATAGGAGGGAGAGATAATTTTCAAAACGTGAAAAGGCTGAAATCAAAAATTTCTCACTTTGGCCTCAACAATAGTTTCTAGATTTACTTGTTTCTCGAAAACTTCCTCAACTGTAATTTCCAATAGTTGCACCTGGAAGGATTACTTGTACCTAATATGAGATTTTTGAGTAGTAATGAAAAAAGTGTGGAAAATGGGGACTCAACGCTGAAGTACGTATCGCACTAAAGATCTGAACTGTTGAGTGTTTAAAGTCCCAGGGACTCTAATCGACTCCAAATGCACTTCCTTACCTGGGCATATTATGCTGGGTTTGGAAGAATTAATAGGTTTTGGCAGGTTGCGTCAGCGTTCTAAGCTTTTCCCTTAGGATGAGTCAAATGGTCATTCATGGCTTTGTTCTCTGTTATCTTATCGTCAGTCAACCGAATTCCATAGCTACAAATGTTTTTATCCGTGGATTTTGAGTTTTTACAGAAACAAAATTTTCTTTCCACATAACTGGGTAGCGAGCAAAGAACGATAACTTGTGGCTATATCCGCACGCAGTAAATCAAAGCATTGCCTTCTTTTATGTTTTTATTGTAATGGAGAGTTGGATAGATTCGTTCATTGAAAATGCGTGTGGGAAATTACATTAAACCTATTTAAAAGCGTTTCCATGTTGAAACTGCGAGCATTTCAAATCCTACAACTGCCATTCAAATGGCACTTATTAATGAGCTCCGAACAAAATCTACCAAGTAAAGCATTATTTCCAACTCTACTCGTTTTCTTCGTCTCAATTTTCGACCGCAGTTTACTCTTTTCATCAAGGAGGCTATGTCATGAAGTTTCTTGCATAGATCGAAAATTGACGAATGCAGACATGCTCTCTGTAAAAAAAACAATAGCGGGCTTACACATGAAAGTGAAGATAAAATAATGACCATAGTAAAATTAGGAATTCATACACTCACCTATTCATATATATAATTTTTTTGATCTTCGTCAACTCGGTGGCCGAGGGCTAGGTATCACTTCATAGAAGAAAATGGCCGTCTCTTCACTTTTATCTTCTCAATCATTTGTGCCTTATTGCCGGATAAATTCAACCTTTTTATGGTTACACAATCGAGATGAACTTCCATGGACTAAGAGTTCAGAGCACTTTTTTCTGGTTTTTCATCAAAGCTAAAAAAAGTCCTTTTCTAATCTGAAATATCAGCACTTAGGTAAAAGAAGGCGACGCGTCGTCTCGTCGTTCGATCGATTTGCAGTTGGAAGGTGGCACTCGTATCCGATCGCGAGCGAATACATTAGAACTCAAAGTCAATGGAGAAGTAATGAAAAAATCAACCTCTGAGGTTCTATCCCAACTACGGTACTGGTTTTGAGCACAATTTGTTCTTTTTCTAGGATTCGAGGCAGTCGTCTCCTCGTGGTTCAAAAACTCTATCGATAATTCGCCATGACTCCACAAATGGCTCACTTGCCAATCTGCCCAATTCCGAAAATCGACAAAATTTGACTATTGATAACAGCCAGGTGAGAGCGATCTCGACTGTGGCATTCTCGTTAAATAATCGTTACTCAGGCATGGTCGGCATTCAATCCTAAGCGTCAATTCTACGTTCTCAAAGCATTTTTCATTTTGCTGTGCTTCGTCGATATCATGCATTGGGCATATCTTCTGAGGTAACGAGACTCAATAGTTAGAAAAAACGTGTGCAATACACGTAAATCGTATTTTTACCCAGCACGTTATCTTTTGAATGTGAATGTTCACGCAATAAGCAAAAAATCATTTATACGTTCGAACTATTTTTACCTTCCTAAACTAATCTTATCTACTTTTATACATTTACTAGAAGACCGTACCGCATTGCGGAAATTGTCTTAACAAGTTTGAGTCTGTTCTTCCCTTCCAAAGAGTGAATAAACCTGGACGAGATAAATGAAATATAGACCTGCTAAGTACACGGTTAAAGGCAGTGGCTCGGCAAAACCCATATCGAGATTTACATATGTTTTAACCATGGAGGTCCCGCGACGACTCCGTGTCTCTAACCGTGGCCGGAACCATTCCACTCGTCCAGATTAAGTAAGGGGTCTTGGGAAGTGCAGGTTTTCGCAATTTTTGCGCTATTCAAGGTAAATTTTTGGATTCTGCGCGTCGGATTACCCTAAATAAGCAAAAAAAAATTTTAGGTCGAGGATTTGCCGAGCCACTGCCTCTAGGCCTCTTTAGACAGAGTGTGCAACGCAGTCTCGCGTCTCCTAGTCATAGAAAGAACTAACTGGCTTACTCGGTTTCGCCCGCACCCTTGACCTAACTGGTTCAACAAAGACAGATATGGTGCCAACTTTTGAGGCTGAACTTACCTGCATTTTGGCTTTCTTCTTTTTCCCGAATAGATAATTGATCAGCTGGATAGATACCAGCTGATCAAATGTCTTCAATTACCAGTCTCCCTCATCGTGGAATGTAAGCTCTACCACTATTGTTTACACGAAAGTTGGAAGCAGCCTGATAGATAAGAATTCATTTTTCTTCAAAATCGATAAATCAATAGAAGGGGTGGGAATTTCGCCGCGAAAAGTCACCTACGGGGTGGACCGGGGTCGAAAACGTATGTGTGCAAAGTATGGCACTGATCGGTCCACACACAAGAAATTCTATAAAGAACACACTAACTAACAATTTACCAACACTCAGCCTTATATATGTATACCATCGACTTCCAGATTCGTACGGAGGTGGAGTCTTGCCAGCTCACAGCGTGGTTGCTAGCGAGAGAGTACGAAAAGCAATACTATAATGTGGAGGCTCAACAAGTTTATCCGTTTTATCAGGCAAAGTCTGCAATACACCTCCACACGAATCTGGAAACCGATCATAAATATATCCATTCATTACCATATCTACCATACGCGGTCAGTCGATCCGAGACCATCGTAAAGATGGTCATATTTCACAAACCCAATTCAACTTTAAGCAAAAATTTTCCCATTGTGAATGTTTGATTTTTTCACCCGGTTCGACCCATTTTTAAATAACCCTACTTGATAGTGCTAGTACTCATTTGAAGTTCAACAAGAATGCACGAGAAATAGAGGGGATTGGCGGCGACTTCTTCTCATCGTTTCTGTATCAGCGATATCACAAGCCTTCACAATTCAAGTAAAGGGTAACACGTTGTTCCGTATAAAAAACTAAAAACAAACTATAACCTCAGCCGTTTTCGTATCAACAAACGGTGTGCATATACATAAGAAAATAGGAAAAGTTTCACTTTTTTATTTCTAAATCCTTGTCCATCTCTTTCTTGCGTTGATCGGTCTTGGGGTAGAGTACTACAAAGCTGGTGTAGCTCTCCTCCGTCGATATCATGCGTTGGATTTGCCATACCTCCCGTTGCTGCGTAAAAATTGCTATTTTGCCCCTTTTAATTTCTAAGCTATTAAATTGCAAATGTATATTTTACCCAAAGACATTTCCTGATTACAGGGATGACACCGTGGAAAATCCGAACTCTTGGCGATTTTATAAGAAATTCCAGAGCTTTGACGTATACTACCTGGTAAGTGGAGATATTACCGTAATGTTACCGTAACTTCTCAATCTTTGCGCATTAAGGTTGCTAGAATGTTCGGCGACATCTTCACATGCGTGCTTGGCCTCGGTGCGGCCATGTGGACGCGCAAACCAATTCTGACTCTTCCATGCACAATGATACAATTACTCTTCTTGCTAATCAGGTAAGACGTTAAGCACTGAAGAATGCTGCATCATAGACACAAGCCTGGGAGCGGCAAATGCCGAAGATTTTCCAAAAAATGGAGGATGCCAATGGAAACTTGGTTCACTTTTGTTGCAAAAAGATTGATATCTACGCATGAAACTCAGCTCGAATTTTTTTTGTTTGCCGGTCTGAAATTGAGAAGTTTGTACCAGGGCCCAGCACGAGGTGGCATTTGGGAATCTTGGAACGAAGTCCCCTCTGACACTGCTGAAATTTACGAATAACCTTTTGTGGATCTGTGAAAGTACGGCTTATAATCTGCAGGGAACCATGAGTGGATAAAACTGAAAAAAAAGAGCAGAAAATCGGAATAAAACAACAGAAGACGAAAAAGAAGAAGGTTTTTTATATCGTTAAGTGCCGTAGGAAAGCAGTAGATCAAAACTTGGGCTAAAGTGAGTACCCATAGATAGAGCTTAAACTGAAGAACAGATCTAGTAAAAATTTTCGAAAAATTAGGTGAGGAAGTGGGTAAATTATGACCTTGTTTGGTCTCGCGCAACCTCAGGGTGCTCCCAGGTTGCGCGGGAGCAACCTAAAATATGTAGAAAAAAATACAACTTCCTTCATTCACACAATTCTTTCATAATTTCTCATACTTATCTTTTCGTCATTGTCGCGAACCTATTTACCAAATTTGTTGGCTCAATATTGCTTAGTCTTTGTAAACAAACTGATTGTTTATCTTTTTGTACATAAAGTTTCAACTCGTTGGGAATCGTGTGAACACAAGTTAGTTAATTTTTGTTTGTAACATGTTGATTGACCTGTTAGTGGTTGAATGACGTTGAAACCTCAAATTTGGGCTTACTGTATGTAAAAATTGTGCTTCCTATCCACTCGGGAAATCCCCCCTGAAAACTTTACGATTTCCCTTTTGCTTCTCCCCAAGAAAACGATATCCAGCGTATGAAGGCGCCACCTCTGCTGAGCCCTGGTTTGTACAGATTCGCAGTCGTTCTATAGTCACGAGGAAGTTGAAACTACAGGGACAGAAACGTTTTCTTTACGGTTTCATTGAAGTACTGATGTTGGGATTATGCAAAATAATACTATTATTCCTCCATAACATTCCTTCTTTAGACGGAAGAATCAACATTTCCAAAATTTCGTTCACCAAAAGCTTGTAGGCAGACTTCTGAGATAGTTTTCGAACATGAAAGGAGTCTCGTTTAGCATGAAAAAAGAAGAAAGTCCTTACCTTTTGGAGAGGGTGTTTCGGCAACACACGTAAGAGATCAACATACTTTACAAAATTACAGAAAGAGGTTTTTTTGAATCAAACTTAGAGCGGTTCTCAACATAGCCATATGAAAAAGTCTATGCCGGACCGTTTTTGGCAAGCACAAAGATCATTTTTATGATAGTTTCAGCGCATACTTTTCTCGTCAGGTGAGCATCGTTTGAAATAATTGTAACATTTGCTTCCTTTCGTATTAGCGCAAAAACTGAAAAAACTGAGATACAGGAACAATTATTCAAGCTACCCCAACTGTGCAGGATTCTTGAATCCCATAGCTGTCAAGCATGTCAGCTTCATTCCCCACAAGGGAGGGTCATGACGTTGAAGTGACCGATCCGCAAGCTGCATATTATCAGTGAGAGTTTGCAGCGCTGATTCCAAATCTGCGCGTTCTATCTGCAAAACTCTTTTAGGCTGAAAACAAACCTCACAGGATTTGGCAACAATCCAGTTGACCATAACTCATCGTAAGAGGTTCCTGAACCTACGGAAGATAGGGCATTTTATCAGCCTACGAATGTTATATATGCTATGCCTTTGTGATCTACCAGTATCGAGTTCGAAGACATCTGGCAAATTGCCACACCGCGTGGCGACTGAAATCGCGTGAGGTATGCCTTGAGCCTTAGGAGAGAAGTTATGAGCATTTGCCGGAGTCAGAAAATTAACTAGTAAGCGGGATAGAATCAATCGCTACAGCTTTTAGACCTTAAATGAAGCAGGGGCAAGTATCAGAACATTCATACATTGAACTTCTTCTGCCCAATCTATGAGTACCTTCAATTCTTCATTTATCTTTATCTTTATCTTGTACACGTAAACGTGTGTCAAAGCCTGTGTGAGTAAAGAAACATTGCTAAAGTAAAGACTAGCCTGTCACCTTTCAGCAGAACAAACAAACAGCGAATAAGGGCCGCAGGTGTTAAGGAAGAAAAATTTCTGTTTGGTCAAGGGAGGTCAGGTGATTGGCATTGAGGAATGCCACTATTATTTAACATCTAGTAAGGCTGTAATGGTTGATTTTATCCTGGCCAACTCTTCATTTTTCGCCTTCAAAAATGCCCTTGACTTCTTTCAAGGAGGCGCTCTGCAGATATGTGAATCAGATTTGGAATCAGCTTTCCAAGCTCTCAAACTTATGGTGCAGTTTGTAGTGATCGGCCACTTCGACTTTGTGACCCTCTCCTGTTAGTTCGAATTTTATAGTGGAATCTTTGGCCTCTTTGTCTCTCCTTGACAAGTGAACACTTCTTACTCTTATGGTGGGCAAACGCCAGGATATCAAGCCCTCATTATACCTTTTTAAAACCTGAGTGAGTCTGTGGGTCATATATAGATAGGCGTTGAGAGTACTTACTTGTTAGATGAAAATACCATAGAAAACATATTTATTGTAATATCTCCTGGGACAATATTGTTTTGTTTATCACAGAACTATAAAAAATCAAGGAAATTAGCCGAGGAGCTACGCACTTTTTATGTAAAATTGGGGCAATGTGGGTAGGGAAACGAAAGCCGCCAGCTTCGGTTGCCTGCGCGGACTGTTGGTCCTGGAACGACATGCAACAACGTTGCGAAAGGACCAGTTAGCCGCGAAAGGCGGCTCAAACTGGCGGCTTTCGTTCCCCTACCCGGGCAATATGATCTCGATAAAATATTTTCAGCGCGCTTAAGATAACATATTTGATTTTTGCATAATACTACTTCAAAAACAGAAATAAGGATCAAGCTTTCCATCAAAATATGCTAAAAGACTGACTCAATACCGACTCTATCCTCAACAATTCAAGGGCAGTCGTGTGGACAGTGCGTGGATACAACCGAGCGTTGCTGCGGGTCGAATCTACTAGTGAAGATAAGGTAAGCACTCCTGTTAGTTTTTCTTTCTCAAAACTAACTTCTACCTTCTGTTCGTTGTACTGCAAACGAAACACGTGCATTTGCCCCAAGTGGTTGAGATTTGGTGCCAGTCTGGGAGTGTAGAATTTGTCTGAGAGCGGTGCCTTTAACTTCTCACTGTTATGATGTGTTTGAGGATTTGTGCGTCTCGAATTCAATAACCTATTTAGATTTTTGTGGCCTGCGAGTTTATACTGCCCGCCGTATGGGCTATCCTCTCCGTGTTGATCGTGCACACTATGAAGCAGCTACGTTCTTACGAGCAACTGCATGGCTATGCGCATCCTCCGGTTATCGTGCTCACTGTCAAAAACGACGACAACGACGAAAGTGTACAGATTGAAATAGCATAGATTACGACGGTTATTTTTAAGTCTCTATAATCGCAATACTCGACACACTTGCTCATCATTCATATCAAACAAGGGTAAAACAACGATTCTATGTTAGCACTCTGAAACTTCGAACTTCACAAACTTTTATTATGTCTGAATGTGTTCATTGTAATTGATGTGTAATATGGATAGAAATGAATTCTAGCAAGCATAGTTATATGAATCATCACAGACATGGATGTTACGTATCAGGCTTCAAAAGCGAGTAGCGAATAGAAGAGAAGAGATACCGAATGAGATTAGATCAAAATTATAGTAAGCATACGAGTGTAGAAAGCTTTACAAATTGCAAAAGACCGATAAGATGGTCAGGTGCATCATGAATTCTTGATGGTTAAAGAGCTTGTAATTATTTGATCAATTTTCTCATCATATGTATAGGATGTCTCAAAAATCTTCAAGCATAACCTATCATCGTATTCTCATCGATATTCTTCGCTTTCAAGTCAGAATTTATACATGAGTTTTTCGGTTGATTAGATTTTTCTCAACTGTCGTATATTCAGAGGTTTATGAAGAAAAGTACTACGACTTCATGGTTAAGAATTGAAGTGTACTCACTACTCAAACTTATCTAGCTCTCTTTTCTCAATAAGCTTCCGCGGGTCTTTATGTATGTCATTGTAAAACGATCTTCAGTTTACATTCACATTTCCAAACATATTGCCGGTCTTGTTCATTTTATGAGAGTGAGACACAATTCTTAAAAAAGTAATTTGCCAAAAGTCTCGAAACAAAATACTTGAAAAGCTGAAAACTCTAACACGAATCCGTACAAGTTGTTGGTGCTATACGGCCTGCATTTTTTTGCCAAAGTGTTTTTTGAAAATTAGGCTGTGTACACTAATTTTGCTGTTTTCTGGATGCCTTAATGGACTGATTGCAATGTTTCAACAGCCATGCAAAATCGTGGACAATTCTTAGAGTGACATGTTTTAATCGCTGGCCACTGGCTCATTTTTGTGATCAGTCGCAAGTCCTACGCCATCAAGATTTGCACGTTTTGGAGCGTGTTTGAGAAGGCGTGACAATCTCAACGTCAACTACTCGCTTGCCATGAAGAGTGCACTTTCAACGTCTGCGGTCTGCGAGAAGGCCAGTGGAGGATATTTCGAACTATTAGTTATGTATAACAAATTTCGTCTATGTGCGTTGCTTCGCTCAAATTCTAGCTAAGGAAATACGTGCTCAAAAAGTTTTGGGACACCCTTCAATAGATCGCTGTTTACAAGTGGGCCGGAGACAAACTGTACACATTTTGATCAGTAACTTGGGACCGCATTGCTTAAGTGCCATCATTCATGTTACCGTAAGGGTTGTGAGAGGAATTCAATGGAGTCGTTATCCTCTTTTCCTTTTCGCTTGTTTCACGTGAGCGATGAATTCCCTAAAGGTAGAACATAACACGAATGATGTTGGGAAATTGGCTTTGCTTAGCTCGTCATAAGGCAATATTGCATCTTAAGTTGGTAACTAGGTAATGCAACTTTTCCAATGACTTTTTGAATTTGGCACCTACAAGGTTGTAGATTATGACGAGAGCTGCAAACGCAGCCAATTTTCTGCCAAACTAACATTGCAGTATTTAATTCTGTAATTTTGATTCATTAAAAGAAAATCTGGATATCATAGGTTAGCTCAAACTTGTTTAGTGGGGATATTCGACATGCTCTTTATAAGTGATCTCTAATCTGCACGGTAGAGCCGTTTTTGTAAGGCTGCGAAATTTTCTTCTATCCACTACAAATGAACTTGATATGTGTCAAGCCCAGAGAATTACAAAGTTGTGCAAAGTCTCGAATAAATGTAAGATTCTGCCTGCTACCGAAGGATGTCCATGCCTGTTGACGACAACGACTCGTTCGACTTCTCAAGGCGTCTTATGTTTTGTCTTGTATTCAATTCTTTTTTATTTAGCTTGGTTAACTAATCTCTGGCAACACATTACCGACAATTTGGATCGCTGTGCTTGAATTAGCTTGTGCAGGACTTCGTTTTCGCTCAAAATGCGTAAAACCTCGACCTTCATCATTAGAAAGTGAACAAACATCTTCTGTAGCTGTAAATCCGCACCCTTCATATCTGCTGCTACACAAGTGCACATGTGGGTATAGAAAAAGTTGCATTACTTAGTCGCAAATGCTAAGAAGCTACGCCGGAATGGTGCAAATCGCGATGCTGAATTAGAACTTACGGTATGAGAGTGGCGAGCTCAGGCGCCAAGTAGATGTATTTGTGTTTGTAATTCCTAGCCGTCGGAAATTCTACGTACTTGATGTCGCGCTTTGAAGCCACGGCAGCATCCTGTAAAAGTCTGTTTTTATGCAGCAAAGAGCTATAGCTACCCAATCATACCCTGAGTTTTCTTCCTAAAGTGACTGAAAGCACATGGTCATTTTCAGCATGCATCATCAGTATAGGACATGTTATGCTGAATTTATTTTCTAATGTAAAAAGCAGAAGCGTGTTAACGTGTTCGGTTGGTAAAAAAGTCAACGAAAGAAAATATGTTGAATTGAGAATCAGTGGCGGCAAAAAAGGGATGGTGCATGATGTTTTCATGAACATTTAAAAATCAAAATTCTTCCATATAATGTCTACTATGTTCCTTTTGTTACTTTTGCAACATTCGCACCATTATTTCCAGTTGTAAGTGAAATAGGAAGCCAATAGAGGTTAGTAGATTTAGCAGTAAGCGGCGGCCTGACATTTCGAACAAATCTTCAGAGGCCTAGATATGTGAGAAAATTATTATTGTCTACCACGCCAAAAATGCCGGCCTCGATGTTGCCTCAGAATGCTACAAACAAAATCCCATAACGAAAAAGTGGAAATAACATCCACCACTGCAGACGCGCAGATGATAAAAGCGGCTGTGGAGATGGTTAGCTCGTCTTTTTAATTATGAAAACGTCACACTTCGTTACCTTTTACAACACTGATTTTGGCCGTAGATGGAGGGGTTTTCATTGAGGTAGACATAAAATGACAAATCTATCACAACTTTGGACTTTGAAGAAAACGAAGGGTTCAAAACTTTAGGCCGCCACTTACTGATAAATCTGTTAACCTCTATTGGCTTACTGATCTACCCACAACATACTATAGTGCCAAGGTTAAGAAGGGAGGAAACCAAAAAATTATTCCCAGCAGTTTTTCTCGTTTCTTCATCATTCTTATTTGCGGTCTGATAAGTGTGGGTGGTCATATAGCACCAGATCAATGTAGACGAGGAGAAGCCCCTCTTATTATTGTATGTCACAAATTACATTTTTAACAACTTACTTTGCAATTCGTTTATCCGAGGTCATATCAAGCCCAGCTTTTTTGAGAGGATCTAGGAGATATCTCTGCAGCATTTCCGGAGACATCCAACTCAATGGCTGGAGGAATACTTTATATTTTGTAATCACTCAAGTCAAGAGTAACTTACAGTTCCCATTATGCTGTTCATCATGGCATCTTTAAAATTATTGAATGGTGACTCAAGAACGAGACCATCTGGAGGAGTTTTATCGAGGCATAGATCACTTACTAGGTGGACAGCAACGCTGATTACATAAATAGAATTGGAAAGAATAGAGATGAAGACGAATGTCCACATACCCAGTACCCATGGAGTGGCCCCATATTAGGACAGTATTTTTACCGCTATGATGTAGTACGTACTCATAAACGAGGCGACTATCACTGACTATTCCGTGCTCCGATGGACTGCCGTCTGAGTCGCCATAGCCTTTAAAGTACTCTGATGAACGGACAGAACACTCATAAGTTGGGAGCAATGTGCTGGAAGAGATGGGTATCAAGTTAAATAATTAGAAAAAAGCACACCCCGATAGTCGAATGTCACCACATTATAGTCGAGCTTGCTCCAAACATTATACATTTGTATTCGATGTGCATATGTCCTGGAGAGAAAGTATGCTTTAGTGAGAACTGAAGGGAGTGTCTCATACCTATCGAAAGAATTTCCGTGCAGATATACTATTACAGGATATTTCTCCTCAGATAAAATTTTCTCCATTTCTTCGTCTAATAAAAGGCCACCCTTCTCACGGTACCTGCTAGCTACTGATTTTGGTAGAATATGCCTGCAAGCAATGAGAGAAAGTACAGGCTACAAAAAGCTAGCAAGAAAGAGAAGACGTTAAACTCCGACAAAGGATGTGAATGCGTACCATACACCCACGTTGCCCTCGTCGCCTCTAAGGAAAAAAGATCTTCCAAGAGAAGTCACGCCATTAGCGGAAAGATCAGAGTAGTCAGTGTTGGGTGCTCTTCCTAGAAATAAATCAACTCGCTAATGAGAGAGATGTTCAAAACACTGACCGAAAAAAGCAGCATGCAAATTCTTATAAATAGTTTTGCCGTCAGAAAAATAGACAAAAGGACGAGTTTGATTGTGCGGTCAATTTTATTTCTATTATGCTTTCAGCGCTTTGATATTTGCAGGTGTTACTTGAATTTGCGAGTAGAACTAACACGTGCAGCATAGGTACAACAAGGTGAGAATGACTTCTCCAGGGTGAAGGGGGTCACAATGTCGCAGCCCCTCCAGAGTAAAGGGTGTTTCACTTGGTAGAAAAATTATAAGATGTCGGACGGGAGGGGATTGGGGGAGCCATGGTGTTCTCTCAACATTTATTTGTCAAAGTTTATAATTTTCAATTCCTTGCCATCACTGGTTGCCTTTTTTCTGAAATGTGAAGCGATATGCTGCTGATTAGCACACAACTATGTTTCTGATTAGCACCTTGTATTTTTTTTACATTTCCTTTTCCCTTTTTTACATCACCCTGCATGTTTTTGAAGTACCATAAAAGATGTGCATGCGTACGTAATGGTTCCTTTGCTTAACCTTAGCTCACTTTTGATTTTTTTCTCGGCTTTTGGTGAAGGGGGTCACCTTGGTCCCGGCTCAGGGGTGAAGAGGAGGTGAGCAAATATTTACACTATCGCATCTATGAGGTGCAGCAGATATATAATATCAAAGCTGTGATACCAAAATTCAAGAGTGATAAAAAATAGATATGGGTCAAACGAAAAAAACTACGTTGAATGGAACTTACTGAAAGTAAGGAAAAATAACGTAGTCACGATTCCGGGAAACAAAATAACCATCAATGGCAGCACAACGAAGAAAGCGAATAGAAGCAAGAATATTAATTCGCAGAAAAATACTAGTATGCTAAAAGACGAGTACTTTAATGGAATCCAATCACATTTTTTCAAAAAATGATGTGAAGAGGCTCTGAGAAGGGAAAGCGAATGATCTGTTTCTATAACTAAGTACTTAACTTACAAGGAAGGGTCGCAAAGTCAAAAAGGCTAATCACTCTTGGAACTCTAATCTTCTGAAAAAAGTTATGAGCAGTTTCAGAGTGAAAAATTGACCCTTTAAACTCTTTGCAAAGCTAAATATAACAGCGGTGAGTTTCAAGCTACTTTGAACAATGAATTGCTTCTGCTTATTATTTCAACATTTGCCATCACTGCATCACACGTCCAGAAAGGCTATGAAAATCGGATTTATCCACGTCACTTTCTTACTTTTTCGCTTCAAAAGAATGCATATATTTTATTTTCCTAGTAGTGCTTTGCAGATAAGGGAAGCAGATTTGAAATCAGCGTTTCAAGCTCTCATCAATGGTGTGCACTCTATAGTAAACGGCCACTTCAACCTTATGACCCTTCCTTATTAGTCCTGCCATGGCCTTTTATGAATATTCTTACTACAAAGTGTCTGGTCGGCAAATAACGAGGCGTGACCTTAGGAAGTGCGTAACCACTAGTTTCAGGTTTCTGTTTTTGACGCATTTCGTGACCAAATAAAATGAAATTCAAGATAAAATGAGTGACTTAACTTCTGAAAACCGTATCCTTTTACTATGTGCCAAATACAACTTCTCAGTTCAAACTCTCATTTCAGAAGTCTTTACCACAAGTGATCGAAGACTCTTTGAGCTTGTTGAGACTATGTGTGCAAGAGCTTCCAAGTCTTTTGACCTAAGCACACTGATGGTAGCTAACCTTTTTCCAGCAATATAAGTACCTTTTTCAAATTTTCAAGCAAGCTACTCAGCCGCCTCACTGTGGGGAAGCGATGCATACCGCAGGGCAATACGCAGCATGGTATAGGGTGCTTTGATTGCAAAGTCCTTTGGCGTGTCTGAGCTGATAGATTCTAGAACCCGCCCCCCCCCTCGCGGCTTCTGCAGCTAAAAATAGGGTGACTGCTTCACAATCAATGCATATTTTTGCCTAAGACTCTCAAAAGGAGTTGCAGAGCTTCTATCAGGCTCAGAAATTTTGCATGACTTCTGAAGTAATTCTCTCTCATTGTTTTTTCATTCGGTCAAGTTCTACCTTAAGACAACATCACATCAAGCATCATCACGCAAAAAGTCTGTATCCCATGATCATACAATATCTTTTCAAAGTTGAAAAAGATAAAAGAGAAGTCAAACGTAGTGAAGTTTCTATGATGTGTTATGTGCGCATGCGACGAATTGAAAACTAATAGTGAACATGGACTTATACATGGCGACGTACAGTCGAGTAGACTGTCGGTGAATATAATGCTCTTACGGGGTCGAAAAAATGCGGTAAAGTTTACTTGACAAATAGCTGTGCTTGTAGCGCCGATGATTTGCGCGTGCCAGACGCCGCCATTACCAGTTTAGATATATAGGCGATTTATACAGTGCTGGACATAATTATAAAGCCACTTTAGAAATCGTCGTAAATTTCGTTCTTGTCAATGAATCTGTCTGAAACTTTGCTGTATTGAGCGTATGTCAACCTACCACGACCCCCCAAAACGGCTTCCAGTCTTGTTGAGTTTGAACGGAGAAAAACGAAAAAATTCGAAAAAGCCCTCTTTGGAAGCTGGACAAAATTATAAAGCCACCTGGTTTTTCTAATGACTATCGCATTCGTTGACTCTCAAATTTTTTTGTACGGTTACATCCTAAAATATGAAACATTTGAAACACTTACGGCCTGTCATCCTACTCAAATAGAAACGATCACTGCATTTTTTGCTTTCGAACGCATTAAAAGTCAATCTGCTTTAACAAGAAGCTGGTTTGAGAAGTTTTTAAGCTCTTTTTCATTTCAAATGCCACTTATGGAATCCACCGACCCTTTTGGACAAATAAGGTGAAGGGCGCTTTTGTAAAATCTGCGTAATCGCTGAAATTGACGGACAGCTCCAACCTCATCATAGGGTTGGCGCACTTTTGCACCACAAAACTCGATTTTCAAGCAACAGAAAATACTTTGATGTAGCCATTACGACAGCCATGCAACAGTGAACTTGTGTACATGACTAGGAAGAAATTTCGGGATTGAGCACTCTGGTTCAGCCGCAGTTGACATCCAAATGTTGATTGGAGCACCCTGCACAATCAAAGCTAACTCAGATCACGAAATAAAACAGGAGACGCTTGAAACTTCAAAATCATACCAATCTCATTCATCGAGTAAAAAGTGATATGAAGCACAGAGGAAATTAAGGAGATTAGGGTCTGGGAGGATCTTCTGCTCGCAGGGAATTTTCGTGAAAAGTTTTTCACATGTAAATCACAACTGCATCATTAGGAAAAACCTGTGAGTTGTTGCAAAAACTGCATCACCATGTAGGCAATGTGATAAATCAAATCCAGCGCTTTATGAAAGCTGCGAACAGAGTTTTGTGGTGCAAAAGTGCGCCAACCCCACGGTGAGGTTGGAGTCTGTCCGTCAATTCCAGCGAGTACGCAGAGTTTACAGAAGCGCCCTTCACTTTATTTGCCCAGAAGGGTCGGTGGATTCCATAAGTAGCATTTGAAATGAAAAAGAGCTTAAAAACTTCTTAAATTAGCTTCTTGTTAAAGCAGATTGACTTTTGAGGCTTTTGAAAGCGAAAAATGCAGCGATCGCTTCTATTTGAGTAGGATGACAGGCCGTTGGTGTTTCAAATGTTTCATATTTTAAAACGTAATTGTACAAAAGAATTGAGAGTCAACGAATGCGATAGTGATTAGAAACAGGTGGCTTTATAATTTTGTCCAGCTTTCATTAAGGGCTTTTTCAAATTTTTTCGTTTTTATCCGTTCAAACTCAACAAGACTGGAAGCTGGTTCAAAGGGTCATGGTGGGTTGACATGCGCACAATACAGCAAATTTTCAGACAGATTCATTGGCAAGAACGAAAATTACGACGATTTTTAGAGTGGCTTTATAATTATGTCCAGCACTGTAGCAGGCAATGACTGCGGACATATTGGCATCTCTCCGAACGAGCGCTCTTTCGCTCCCCCTCCGATCTGCTGTCTCTCCCATGTACGAACTATCTTCGACAGACGCAACGAAGCCTGGTCTTTGCTTTTCATGAATCGTGCATACTTGTTAACGCGCAAATTCTGCCGCATTTTCTCAGCACTGTAAAGGCACTATATTTACCGGCAATTCTACTCGACTGTAGACTTTGTAAACTTGTTTTTATACTCAGTAGATTTGCACATTTAGCAATCTAAGGGCCGCATGCATTAACACATCCCCGCCAGGGAGGGGATCGCAGCTTACGAAGAAAGCTTTGTATCCTGAAGCACCGAACTTCTGAATTTCACGCTGTCTACCCATCCGTAAGTATTCCTACCATCCTTCACTATGAACATATTAAACAGGAGCGAGAGGCCGCGCCGTACAAACCGCATTTTTTAGCAATTTGATCGCCTGATGATCCCTGGCGGCCGAGCGTCTTTTCTTCAAAGTCATTTTTCTTTTTTCAAAGTCAGCAAAACATTCAAAAGATGTACTGTTCATCTAGCCCAACACTGCTAAGCATGTTGCTAATAAGAACAAATGATGTATTGAAGTCATGAAATTTGCGATGAACCACAAGTTGGCGTTTATCGAAAAATTCGATTCTTCAACTTATCGATTCTTATCAGCAACATGTTTTAGCACCGTTGTGTCAAATGTTCAGTACAACTTCGGAAGGTTTTCGTTAACATCGAGGAAAGAAAGGTGACTTTGAAGAAAAGATGGTCGGCCGCCAGGGATCATCAGGGGATCACGTAAAATGTTAGAAAATGCGGATTGTACGGCTTCTCGCTCCTGTTCGATATGTTTACAGTAAAAGAAGGTAGGAATACTTACTGGTGTACCGTGTGAAACAGATATTTGGAGCTTAAGGATATGAAGCTTTCTTTCTAAGCTGCGATCCCCTCCCCGGCGGGGATGTTAATGCATGCAGCCCTAAGATTTTTTCCTTACCTAGGGTGCTTGTGGTTAACCCGAAAATCTGAATAGAGGGTGAAAGTGGCAAAACTAGCAGTTTCCAAAGCCCTTCATTTTGAATTTGGACGACTGGAACAGTCCAGGCATGGCTGCAGACGCAGAGTTGTTGAGGGATTTCTACGGTCATAACATTGCAGACAAGCACGCGTAAAAATGGCTTGCATGCACGGTTGAGAGCAGTTTCCTTGGCAAGCGTAGCATGCTGTGAGCTGACTTAGTCTATTTTCATATTTAGGATGTGAACAACCTACCACATACTTCGAGGTTGTTCAGTTTTACCGAGCTGCTGCCTTCAAAGTCACCGTCTACCTATGAGGTGAGATTTTGGTGCAGTACCATAGCGAGACCCTAGAGATCTATATTCTTTTTCGACTATCTTTATTAAGATGACTCGTATGCACATCCCTGCTGAGAAGGGGAGAGGACCTGAAAAGGGAAGCGTCATAACTCTCTACTCTACAAATCTGCATTTTTCTTTGTTTATCTATATTACGAAGTTTTTCATGATGAGCATAATGAATGCCAGAGCATTGTTCTACAAGCTTAGATTTTCATTTGTGTCCTAGAACATCCTAGGTTCAGCTCGTTTTAATAATCTTCTTCCTCCCCATAAACTTGAGAAAAACGTCAAAAAATTCTACCAAGGATCTATTACGGTGGCCAGGCACTTTTCAAGCAAAGTATCGCGTGAGAGGTGCATCAATAAGAGGGACCCGACCAAGCGACTGCAAATACCGGCAAGAGCTTCAGTCACCGGACAAGCGCTCTGCAATCAGAAAGTGCCAAGCAGGCGGTTACATTTGCCGGCCGAGCGGCCATCGAACCAATCGGCCGCCCAGCCATCGATGTGTATACTGAATAAGCGCGCAAACCACCAGCCAAAGCGTCACTGACCGGCCGACG